CACCGTATTCATTAATTTTTTGCATTTTGGCGATGGATGGTTCTCCTAGCAGGTGGTGCAATTCGTGGCTCATTCGCCTCCTCCACGTTCCGTCATCCATCTGCACTCCACCGTAGATGGTGCGCGACCCCTTCCGTTCGAAAACACCAAGGCACGTTGGTCCTCCACGAGCATAGTCCAAGTCTCTTGGCAGTAGAGGACCACCGGTCTAATCAGCGTCTTGTAGATAGCCAACTTCGTGCGGCGGCGAATTTCATTCGACCGGAGCGTCCTCCGGAGTCCAAAGTAGGCACGATTCCCTGCCATAGTGCGTCTTTGAATTTCTCTGCTGGTATCATTTTCGGCGATCACCAGTGAGCCCAAATACACGAACTCATCGACCACCTCGATTTTGTCACCGTCAATCTCGGGGTGGAAGGCTAACATAGTCGATGCGTTGATGGCAAGTCCAATCCAACTAGTTTGCAGCATCGTCTCAAAGTTTCGTGCCATGATGTCGATGTCATCGGCGAAGCCAAGAAGCTGAATGGACTTCATGAAGATCGTGTCTATCCCAGCTCTTCTTATCAAACCTTCTAGCGCGATGTTGAATAGCAGACATAGTCCATCACTTTGCCGTCGAGATTCAAAGGGACTCGAGAGTGACCCCGATACGCGAACAACGCACATCACTCGATCCATCGACGCATTGACCAATCGCGTCAGTTTATCCGGCAATCCGTACTCGTGCATAATCTGCCATAGCTGATATCGATCGATTGTGTCGTATGCGGATTTGAAATCGATGAACAAATGATGTGTGGGCACGTTGTATTCGCGGCATTTCTGCAGAACCTGCCAAATCACGAAAATTTTGTCCGTGGTAGCACGGGCACCCATGAATCCCGCCTTGTATTGCCCCACGAACTCTCTTGCAAATGGTGACAGGCGGCGGCATAGAATTTGGGAGAGTACCTTGTAGGCGGCGCTCAGCAGTGTGATCGCGCGGTAGCTGCAGCAATTCAACTTATCGCCCTTTTTGTAGATTGGGCATACGACACCTTCCATCCACTCCTCCGGTAATATCTCTTCCTCCCAAATCTTGGCAATTACACAGTGCAGCGCTCTAACCAGTGCTTCAACACGATATTTTAATAGCTCACTTGGTAGTTGATCTACACCAGTTGCTTTGTTGTTCTTCAGCCGACCGATCTCCTCCTAAACTTCTTGAAGATCAGGGGCCGGTAGCCTGTCGTCTTTTGCGCGTGCTCCAAGGTCTGTTGCCGTGCCACCTTCGTTTTCTGCTGCATCACCGTTGAGGTGCTCGTCATAGTACTGTTTAACCATGCTTTTGAGGTGCTTCAACTGCAATGAATCAATACAATTACCGAAGAAGCTTGAAATAGTCAATAGTTGAGATGGTTCGGGATAACCATCTCGAAAACTTAAGAAGTTTTTGCCAGGACCACCGGCGATTAGAAACGATTGCTTTTTAGATGGTTCGGGACGACCACCAAGAGATCTTCGGGAGTCATTGAGAGTTGATTTATTATGGAAATGATTCGAGATGACTTTCTAGAGCAGTAACTGCGTTGGAGAAGATCGGTACGCCCAACGAATCCACACAATCCTCGAGGAAGCTGTCCCCCCTGAATTCCGCTCAAATTTGAGTGACAAGAAATCAGCGTTTGCTTCTGCACATTTAACATTACTAAAGTGTATTATACACAGTTTCAATGTGAAGACACTATGTTACTTTAGATTTGCATCGTATTTATTTTATTTTGTCAGCATCAACAGACTCGATATGGTCCCAATGATGGTTTAACTTAAAATTAAAGTCATAACTTAAAACTACAAAACATTAAAACATGATCATTGACTGTTTCCATTTCTGGAGAAGAATGAAGAGAAACGTATCCGAAGTGTTAGTCGTGGCAGGTGAAAATCGAATACTGATGAAACTCGGTTAAATACTCGCTGCAGTCCGCCTATTGCACCGTTGATTGCATAGTTTGTCCTACGTAGTGGCATTCTCAGCATAACATTGTTACGAAGCATTCGGGGTTGGACGTTAATGTTTACTTGCTCCAAGCAGGGCCTTTGAAGTATCTCTTCTGGTGCGAAGAGGCTCCAAGTCGATCAGCTGGCAGCGACTTTCATAGCTGGGCAAATGAAGCTGGTCTCTTCAAGGTAACATTCTCAAGGCGCATCGCAGAAAGCGCGTTGAACGGACTCGACTCTCTCAGTACCATTGTTGTAGTTCGGACTCCAAATCACAGAACGATATTCTAGAATGGAACATACCAGGGAACAATACAGTGACTTGAGGCTATGGATGTCGGAGAAATTCTTAGCTGTTCTGAAGATAAAGCCCAATGTCCTTGACGACTTGTCGACGACGTACGAGATGTGTTGCTTATATGTAAGTTGAGTGATAAGATGCATTATGAAATGCTCCTTAAATATGAACTACCTTTGAATTCCTATTAAGGCGGATCGGGACTGTCACTGGGAAGTTGGGTGCGCGACGGCACAATCACCGCAGAAGCTGCATTCAGTCGCCGTGGGTAAAATAATAGCGTTTAAGTTGGTTCGGTACGGCACTCAGACCAGTTCAAAAGGCACTCAGACCTACTTGAAAATCCTTGGATTCATCTTGGATTTGCCAATCGGTGATAACCGGTGATTGCGAACGGTCAGCTCTTAAGGTAGTCGACCACTAAACGAGTTTCAGTAGCCATGCATTGGACGTAATGGACTAGCTTAAAAATTTCGCGAAAGCAGATCTGGACGGCCACTTTTTGGAGAGGATTGGCACAATCGCCAGTGAAGCTGAAATCTGCTGATCGCTGGGATAGCTATTTACGTGGTTCGGGACGACCATCCACATTTCCAAGTAATACTGCAGGTTTTGTGATAGTTTTGAAGAATTCTTCTAGTCTAAATCGCGCTCTGCACCCAAATCGTTAGTTAGGTTGAGACGTAATTTTTTTGGAAGTTAAGTTGGGAAAACCACTGCGAATATTTTTTTTTTTCGATTTGACTCTGGACGACCTAAAGCCACTAGCCCCCGTGCAGTCCTATGGACGCACAACTAGAAGCGGTACGGGACGATCACCGAAGTTATGATTAGCCTGAGAGCCTTCCATTGGGTTCCATGAGGACGGTTCGGGACGACAGCTGAAAATAGCTATTTTGGAGGTAGCTTCAAGTGATTATTGACCAGCGGTTAAGGCGAATACAACAGTATTTGGATGTAGTTTAGGATGATACAAGTGGCAGCTTTGGATAGTTTATTGGCCGAAGTGACCACGCAGACCCAGATCGGCGAAGAAACTGCGATGAATGAAAAAAAAATGTTCGCTTTTAAGGCAGTTCTTGGCGACTGCCAATAAGGATTGACCACCGTCATTGTTGAGAAAAGGATTGAACTCAGTGGCGTCACGTAACCTCACTTTTTACCTGTTCAAACACTTTGAAAACGTTATTTAGAGCCATATTTAAATTCAAATCGGCCTCAAAATGCACAGGGTATTCTAGTTTCACTGATTTGTATCGATTCAAAGCAATATCTTTTTATTTGCTTACGTTTTGAGAGTTGTTGAACAGGTAGATTGAGGTTAGGGCGACGCCACTGATTGAACTATCATTGGAAATAGGTTAGGATGGTCTTCCTGTGGACCGAGGTGACCACCATGAGGTTCCAAAAATGCGACAGTGACCACCGTAGAGCTTTCATAATGTTGACTCGGGATGGCCGTTTGAAGAATAGAGACCAATCGGTCGAACAAGCTATGACTAACTTTCAGGCCTGATTGGATATCAAGGTGCTCCTTTACGGCGGCTTGGGACGACCACCGAGAGAGGATTCTGACTGATTACTGTTAAGGCCGTTAACTGTTAACCGTCAAGAGAGGTTATTGACCACCGTTTGCAGTGGATGCCACAGTAATTTAAGATAATATTGGTGGAAACCATGGCTAGCTTATTACCCAAAGTGACCACGTAGTTCGGTAAGAGCTTCTATTTGTCCTAGGTTGTACGTATAGTAATTTAACTTTACGGAATCGCGGAGTTAATAAACACAATTAAACCTGTGACACAACGCAGAAACTAAAAAAAACGTTCTCGAGCAGTAGCTGCACAAAAGCGAAGACAACAAATCAAGAAGACTGGCAACTTTGCCAGAATCCAAGCGACAGATACAATAGCGCTGCGCTTGAGTGAAGGTGGTGCATAGAAAAATGAGCAAATACACAAACCCTTCTTCTGAGGATGTAATCTTTGCTATCAAATTCGTTCGAAGCATTTACCTTTGAGCGGCAGATGACGCGATTGTACCTGTCTCATAGCGTTCGTATAACAAAATGGAAGAGTTGCCAGTCTTCTTGATATGATGTCTTCGACGAAAGTCAAGCAAATACGTCCGCAAGACTGAAGTGGTCACGCAGCTTGAACCAACAACTGAAGGCGGTTCGGGACAACCACCGAAGAAGCAGTAATTGACTTTTAGACCCGAGAGTCCACAGAAGGTTTCATGGAAACGATTCGAAACGATTGATGAAAATAGCATTTATGCAAGTAGCTCGGGACCACCATCCAAAAAAGGACTCTCGTTTCTGACCACCGAAGTCACTTAATTAAGCTAAGCAAAGGTACTCGCATGGAAAGGTCTATGCAAGTGACACTTAGGGGAACAACTCGATGGAACGGCTACACAAGAAGCCACAGTTAATCAATGAGAATGAAGTTGTATGAAAACGACTGGAAATGACAAACCTAAACGGTAGCTACAATGGAACAATTTGAGAACGACCACTAGGAATAGTTCCATGGGAATAAATCGATAAAAGTCACTGTTAATTTAGCATAAAGATTTCCTAGAAATTGAAGTTTCAGGACGACCCTTGAAAGATAAATTCATGGCAGATGAAATGAGAATGCCATTGAAAAAAAAAACATCTTAAAACTCTCATGATGGTGGCCAGAAACGGCCACATGAATTAGGGGAAAAGTTGGCTTCGGCAATAGCTTAACCTATTATCGTCAGGGGGGTAAACAAAGTCCTAGAGCACTCAAATTTGGCCAATAGTTGCTCTGAAACACAATGTATCCACATGCCAAAATTGAGCTCTCAAGGACGTTGTTTACCCCCCTGACGATAATAGGTTAAGGTATTGCCGAAGCAAACTTTTCCCCTATAACTTTTTAGAAGGTTTGGGACGACCCTCAAATTAATGGCTTCATTCTAGATGTAATGAGCCCAGCATTGAAAGGAAAGCACTGTCATCTATTGACCACTGCAAAATTCGCATGATGGTGGCTCGGAATGACCATACGAATAATAGGTTCAGGATCACCCTTGGACCACCTCCGAAAAGCTGTGGCTATCTATTGAGCATCATTGATTACGGCAAAATTTACTTGATTGCAACTCGGAACGACGCTGGAAAAAGTAGCTTTGCTGAAAGTTCGGGATGACCTTTCAAAGATAAGCTTCAGCGCCATCGAGAGTTTTCTAGTGAACATGATTGATCACCGTAGAACTCGCAACCATAGGAATAATAATTCTTCTGATGGTTTGGGATGACCCTTGACAGCATAGCTTCGTTGCAGGTGGAATCAAACTACCACCGGCTGGCTCGGAATGACCATTTGATGAAGGCTCGAGACGACTCGTGGAAGATATAGCTTCGTTGCAGCTGGAATGACACCGCATCCGAAAAAATGTGGCCATCTAGTGAGCACGATCGACCTCCATAAAACTATTGTGATGGTGGCAAGAAATGATCCTAGCTTTGCAGAAGGTTCGGGACGACCCTATAAAGAATAGCTTCGTTGTAGCTGGAATGAAACAATCAACGAACAAAACAATATGATTATCTAGTGAGCATGGTAATGGTTGACCACCGTAAAACTCTCATGGTGGTAAGAAACGACTATATGAATGATAACTCCTAAAAGGTTTTTGACGACCCTCAAAGGAATGGCTTCATTGTAGATGTAATGAGCCCAGCATTGAAAGAAATATGCTGACATATATTGAGCGTCCTTGACCACTGCAAAATTCTCAAGATGGTGACTCGGCACGGCCATACGAATCATAGCATTGCTCAGTAGTGTCACGTAACCTCACTTGTTACCTGTTAAACAACTTTGAAAACATTATTTATGGTCATGTTTACATTCAAATCAGTTTCAAAAGGCAGAGGGTCTTCTAGATTCACTGATTTGTATCCATTGGAACCAATATTGTTTAAATTGTTCAGGTTTTGAGAGTTGTTGAACAGGTAGATTGAGGTTAGGGCGACGCCACTGGCGGATAATCCTTGGACCAGCTTCGAAAAAATGTGGTCTTCTTTTGAGCATCATTGATCACCGCAAAACTCTCATGATCGTGACTTGGAACGACGCTGGGAATAGTAACTTTACTACAGGCTCGGGATGATCTTTGGAAGATAAGCTTCAGCGCCATCGAGAGTTTTCTAGTGAACATGATTGTTCACCGTAGAACTCTCATGATGATGGCTTGGAACGACCATAGGAATAATAACTCTCCGGATGCTTGGAAGAATAACTTCATTTCAGGTGAAATCAAACTACCACCGGCTCGAAAGGATCATTTGCTGAAGGATCGGGACGACTCTTGGAAAATATAGCTTCGTTGCAGCTGGACTGACGCCGCATCCGAAAAAAAATGTGGCCATCAAGTGAGCACTATTGACCTCCATAGTACTATTATGATGGTGGCAAGAAACGATCCTAGCTTGGCAGAAGGTTCGGGACGATCATAGAAAGAATAGCTGTGGTTAGTTGGTAAAACTCATGATGGTATCTTAGAACAACCACAGGAATAATGACTTTGTGGAAGGTCCAAGAGACGACCAAACAGGAAAGTTTGAGCTCCTTCACACAGTGGTTCAAAACCGAAAAACAAACGTGATCGTTTTAGATTTGAGTGGCGTTCTTGATTTTGGATATGTGGTGCCTTTGACAAAGGTTTTTTTTTATTAAAGGATGACGATTTATGATTTTACGATTTTATATGAATCCCACTAGAAGTGAGATGGCTTTGTCAAATATTAAAATGTTGTGTATTTGGCAAATCCCAAATAGCCCTCTTTAAGCCCAGATTACTATAAGGATGACATCTAGAATCTGAATCTAGATCGTTAATATTAAAAAATCAAATAGATTGTATCGGATTGCTTCTGCGAAATTTTATTTTTGTTAGCAGTCAAAGGGTGGATTTTGCATCAGATTTTCCATCGACTCTTCAGAAAGACTAAGCCAACTGTTCAAAAACGAACTAGGACTTTTTTTTTAAGAATATCCTTCTTAAATTCATAGATGTTATCAGTTTTGCTTTGTTTTTCGTTATCATAAATTTAAGAGTCTTCTAATTATTTAGAAATATTCTAAATTTGTTGTCAATACTAATTCTGCAGCCCATCATTTCAGTAAACTTTAAATACTACCGTAAATGTTCCTACCAATGCTTTAAATGAAAATTCTATGAAATCAAAATGTTGTACAACATTTCCGATCGTAACACTTTGCGTCTTGCCAAACGGCCTAAAAACCTGCCGCAAATCCTTTAACCGAGTGCACAACAGCTGGAGAATACGAATACTTAAATAAAATAGGCACTTTGAAAAATACGTTCTTAAGAAAACACATAAAAGAAAACAGTTAAAACTTAATAAAAAGAGTTTTGAAATCGTTCTTTTTAAAAGAAGCACATCTATTTAAAATCATTACCTCTAAAGAAAACTTCTATTTTTTTTCTTGATTACATCGAAAAGCTTCCCATTCGCATCGATAAAACAAATATATAATGGCAAACTGTTCTGCTTGATTGAAACAAAAAATTGCACTAATGAAAAATACTTAATCAAGTTCAGGAAGATTGGTTTCTCTTTGCACACGACGTCCAAAAAAAAATATGTTTTGCTTGAATAACTTTTCGCATGTTTCCCAACACACTTACAAACATTGCAAATCACTTCATGTTTTGTTATCTCTTACCATCGTAAATATGAAATCAATTACTTTAAAAAAATAAATGTCACTACACTATCATTATCGCTTAAACATTACAACTGCTCAAAAAATGTATATGCACGCGCGCGTGTGTTTGAGTGTGTAAAAAAAGAGCCAAACTTGCCATTAGAAGATTCTCACGCAAATCACACACTTCCACCAAGCTGCTCTCAGGCTTCGTCCGTTTTCTTCGGTTCAACATAGCGCAACAACCCCCCTTCCCCCATCCACCGATCAGGTGGGCGGTTATTGAGGGACACCTTTGTATCGATTGCTCTCATACTGCTTAGCATGCTAAAAAAAAATTAATCGATTGTTAGTCCTCGTCACAGTCATTCTTCATCACATCATTCACATGCTCCATCCACGGAGAAAAAAAAACCCGGTGGCATCTTACGACACCGAGCTGATTGCATTGTGAGGCGATCCCATCTGGATGAGGACCTTGTCCAACCACTGCAGGGGCCCGTGGAGGTGAATCTCGATCCAGCAGGGTGTGGACGTGACATCCTGTCGGTGGTACTCGGCACCCCAGCCCTTGACGAAGCTCATTCGTATCGTGCACATCTTCGTCAGCTCGTACACCGCCTCGAAGCCATGGTTCACCGATTGCGACAGCAGTTGGGCGAATTCCTGATTGTTGAAGATCTTCAGCGAACAGCCGGGAGGGATTTTGCACACGGTACTCGGGTGGAACCCGTGATGGTGATTGCAGTTGCGGCTCTGCACGAAGATGGCCGAATCCGACAGGCACTCGGCGTACACTTCTCCGCCGACGTAGTACAGGTGTACCCCCTTTCCGATATGACGACGTGTGTTTTCGATTGTACTGTTGCGGTTGACGTTGCTCAGCTGACCGAGGCAGAAGCGATCGGAGTTGTTGGAGGGATTGGTGAACCCATCCACGATGATGGAGGTTGAATTGCAGTGGAACACTTCGCCAACCCGGCAGTTCAGCTCGTAGTAGGCTATACTGGCCCAGTAGGGAGGTTCCTGATAGCTAACCGGGGCCACTTCGCCGTGCATCTGATTGGTATCCATCTGGTTGTTTTCCTGGCTGCCAACAACGTTGGTCCCATCCTCCGGTGGGCTGTATGCTGGCGGAGGTGTCTCAGGTAGTGAACCGTACGGGCTCTGAGGATTGGAGTTGATCGGTCCAGGACTGGACACCGAGGAAATGGGACTGTTGGGGCCCATATGCGAGGAAATCGGCGAGTTGGGTCCGCCTCCGCCCATGTGCGAATTGTTAAAGCCCGAATTGGTGTAGCTAACGTTGTGCGGCATATTAGGTTCGTTCATCTGGTGGAATGGCAGCAGCGAGTGGCCGGGTGCAAATTCCGAATGGCGCGGAACCAACACCGGCGGAAGGACCGGACTTTCGACCCGTTTGTAGTGGTACGGGTTGATGCAGACTTCCTTCTGCTTGGCGCTGAACGGATACTGACACGTTTCGATCGGTTTCAGCTCGTGGTGGCTTTGCAAGTCCGGCCAGCGCCAGACCCGGCAGTAGATGACGTGTGGGAGTCCTTTGCGGTGGGATACCTGGAATGTGAGTAGATGTTAGTTCTCATTTGCACTCATCGCCTAAATTAATGTGATCAGATCACGGAGAAATTGATCAGATTCTTTCTAGAGGTGTTGCAAGGATTTCAGAATATTGAGTATAAACTCAAACGCAAATTTATTATGAAATTTGGAAGCACAAAAGCTGGAAACTTTGGAACTTTCAAATAACCAATTTTAGACCGTATTTTTAATAAACTGAGAGTACCTATTTACTTCAATTAAACCGGGATCGATGAAAAAATGAATATCATTTGAGTAATCTAGAAGTGAAATGCAGAGTTTTAGTCATAAGGAATTTAAAACATTGAACATTATCTACAATTACTCAGCGATATGCTCGGAATACTTATGCAAGAGCGAAGTTGTTTTTTTTCTGGGAAACATGGTAGCTTTCTTTGGAAGACCTGCAACTCGTTTCGCAAGTCTGCTGAACTTTACATCGAAGTCATTCGCTCCTTTCTAAGTAGTTTCATTCTGAATTGAATCCTCTTGACTTCGTCGGTTCTCTTGGAAACAGAATATGACAATTGTTTTCGATGTTTGTGAGTTATGAAAATCTTCGTGATCCTAGGTTTAGCAAAAACGAATCAGATTTTTTTCCAACAATCTGGGACTGAGAAAAATTCTCAAAATGTTTGATTTTGAAAAATGTATAAGATTCCCGTTTCCTTGGTTTCTGGAAAAAAAATTAGGACTTGCGAAAATGTGCAGGGTTTTAATAATTGAGGATTTTTTTAATAGATTTTTTTTAATTCCAAAGAAATGCAAAATTATTTCTACCAAATTCTGAGAAAAACTCGGACGAAAATTCAACGGAGTTCCGACTAGAATCCCAAAATAATTCTGACATTAAGTCATAAGGAACTCTTAGTAGAACTTCAAGGGAGTTGTGAGGAGAACTTCATAATAAATATGAACATAATTTAAGGGCGACCCCGGCGGAGCGGTTAGCGCCAAAGTCATGAGTTCAAACAGCATTTCTGAGGTGAGCATTTACAGGTCAAATTGTTCGCTAGGGGCAATGATCTAAGTTTGTGCTGGAATTCATCCATTTTGACTGTCGCCTAATTTATCAAAATCGATCTTTTTCTTTTTTTTATTATAACCACTTTAACGCTCTGGGTCATTCGTGATTAGTCTGGAGTAGGAATTGAGCTCTTGACTGTGGCATGAAAGGTATGGATGCTTACCACTACGCTGCACAGTGGGACGAAATCAACAAACTATTGAGTGTAACATTTTGATGTCTTCTAGAATGTTTCTTCAATTTTTAAATACTTTATTGCAGTGGTGAAATTTTTTGCTTAAGGGAGGTATACACTAAGATAAAAAAAAAACTTTTTTATGTCGACATTGTTGAAATTGATGATTATCTATGGAAACATTGTAGATGAAGTCATTTTAATGAACTTTGTCAAAGACGTCCATTTTCCATCTCTCAAGTGGACGAAGCTATAGGGTGAAAATGGAATATAAACGGTAGTACCCCATTAAAAACCGTTTTTTTTACCATAACTTTTTAGTTTCAATTTTACATTTTTTTTTTCAATGTTCCACAAAATTGTAAGTGCTCTAAAACTGCACATTTTTGCTGCAAAAAAAAACAAATTGCTATCTCTTTGTTTTAAGGATTTCAGTCCCTTTTTATAATATTTAACGCTATCTGTAAGGGGTTGTATCTTGCACGTTAGCAGGTATTAGCAGCTAATCTCAACGTTATTTTGATCAGCATCTTCTAGTCTACTGTTACATATACAATTCATAGGGGGATCCAAGGGGATGCATCATAAATTTTCTATTAGTACCTCAATGTTTTGTTACGTTTTGCTGTTTCCATGACCATTTTTCCAAGTGTTTACATTAGAGTAGGTTTCCCACTGCTCTTTCAATGCATATTTTGGTCCCAAACAACTGCGCAAAATTTGATCGAATTTGGTTATAATCTCGATATGCGGGAGAATTTTAAATTTTGTATGGGAAACGAAAAGATCCTATACATTTGCTTACCAAAAATCCAAAATTTCTCAAATTTCTCCAAAACTCGGACTTAGGTTGAGAACACTATACCAAACAACTTTGTCGAAGCTACAACCCACTCTAATGTACATACTTGGAAAAATGGACATGAATATTTGAAAATTCATTAGGCATCCCATTGGATCCCCCTATGAATTCTTTATGTAACAGTAGGGTATAAGTTGCTGAACGAAATTACGTCGAGTTTAGCTGCTAATACCTGCTAACCTGCAAGATACACCCCTTTAAAGTTAGTGTTGAAAAATTATAAATACGTTTGTTAATCCTTTACATTTTTAGAGCACTTACCACTTTTGCAAATAATTTTAAAAATTCAAACAAAAAAGTTACGATAAAAAAAAATGTTTTTAATGGGATACTAGCGTTAGTACTTCATTTTCACCCTATAATTTCGTCCACTTGAGAGATAGAAAATGAACGTCTTCGACAGTTTTTTAAAATGACTTCATCTACAATGTTTCCATAGATGTTCATCAATTTCAACATGACATAAAAAAAAAGTTATTTTTTATCAAAAATGTTCACTTCTCAATTAAAGTACTCAAAAAATGAAGAAACATTTTAAGAGACATCAAAATGCTACTCTCAATAGTTTCGTCGCAAATAGCTATGTTCCCTCTATTTTTGATTTCGTCCCACTGTGCGCTGGGGTCACATATATATATATTGGATATATTTTAATAAATCCAAGTACAAAAACGGCTCATCTAATTGCAAGAAACTAGATTGCTTTTTCAGCACGTTCAAAAATGTTGCTGAAAGTTGATGTTCTACGATTTTGGTCAATTTTGAAGAGTCCGTTGCGTCTTTTTCAGAAAAGTTAGCATTTTTTAACATAAATTAAAAAATCTTAAAAATGTATGAAGAAAGAGAGAAGGATTAGTAATTTCCATTTAATTTCAATACCTTATTTGCTAATCCTTCACAAGAGGCCCACATTCATTAGGAAGATAAAAATGTACTTTTTAGCTAGTGAAATTAAACACGCTTTTTTTTTTTAATTTTTTATCTTTGTTTCAGACATCATTTTGATTAGATGAGCCATTTTCGTGCAATGATTTATTGAAAAATATCGAATATGCCATTTCATAAATTGCGTAACAGTCAAAATCGATGAATTCTGACGCAAGCCTGATTGATTTCCCCTAGTGAACATGAGAAGCTTCATTAAAACCGGAGAGGGGAAAATTAAATCGATTCGTCAGTTGGCGTGGAACTGCTTTTTAATTTTGCGTAAAGTTCGCAGACAATTCTTTTTTTTTTTTTTTTTTTTTATTGGTATCAAGCTGGAGCTGCGTGACAGCTTAATTTTCAAGACTTGACCCATTTGAATAAATTTTGCTTCTATCTTTGACAATACAGCAGAAGGACTAGCCTATGTTGGCCGCTTGAACACTGGATTCCGTATGTATTGTTTCAAGATAGTTATAGAAAAAATGCTGTGACGTGTGCGCGTAGATACATCCGCGTAGTAAACCGATTGAATAAGTAAATCCGTTTCGAACGAAATATCTAAATTATGTAAGTTACGAAAACCGCGCGAATTCCGAAAGCCGTGCGAGATAACCGAAGCGAGAAAAAAAAGGCTTATTATCATTTAAAGAGTGCCACCAAAATAAATGTGATAGCCTATGTTGGCAAGTTGATTAATTTTGGTTTCCTCCTTAGATATTCTACTTATTTACTACTGAGCTTTGTATCAAATTAGTTAATTTAAAGAACGTATCAATCATTTCAAGATTTCGCGACCGCACCGAACAAATTCTATAAGCTCAAAAGCGTTTGACAAGCTCTACCGAATTGCGTATCACTTCTGCGTAAGCTCCGTAGACGTAGGCGCGTTGAATCCGACAGTCGGCAAAGGTTTAACCTGTACCAACACCGCTTAAGGAACGACCTCGAGTCAGTGAAACCGTTTATAGTTAAACATCTAAATTACGTAAGATACGAAAATCGCGCAAATTGTGAACGCCACGCGAAACAACCGTAGAGAAAAAAAAACAACTTATTATCACTTAAAGAGTGCCACCAAAATAAATGTGATAGCCTATGTTGGCAAGTTGATAAATTTTGGTTTCCTCCCTAAATATTCTACTTATTTTACTGTTGAGCTTTGTTTCAATTTAGTTATTTTACCGCACGTATCAATCATTTCAAGATTTCGCGACCGTACCGAACAAATTCTATACTACAGAAGCTCAAAAAAAAAAAAAAACTTTTGGTGAGCTCTACCGCATTGCAAATCACTTCTGCGTAAGCTCCGTAGACGTAGGCGCGTTGATTCCGAAAGCCGCGAAAAGTTAAACATGCATCAATACCACATAAGGAAAGATCGATTTTACGTATGGTTTAGTTCATAGATTAACATTGATTGCTGTTTACAGATGTAAGTACTTGAACACTAAGAAATAAGTTAACTCAAATGCTTTAATCGCATATATAAGAGATTTCGCGTATTGAGAGAATTATATAGTAATCGAGTACAACAAACTCAGGGGAATACAATACCTCCAAAAGTTTAAAAGCTAATAACTGTCACATAACTCTACTTTTACTTTTTTCCTAAACTATTCCTTTCCTTGTTAATCTGCTAAATGCTATTGGTCTGCCTGCGTTTTCTTTTTTTTTAAATTCAATACTAAATAAGAAGATTTATTCTACAACTATAAAGGTTAGTTGCCTCCCTAAGCGGACCACCCGCATCCTAATTCTTTTGTTAATCTACTTAATGTCATTAAACTTTCTGAAGTTTATTATTTAAATTCATTTGATGGTTATGATATCTCATTAGTCTAAATTAATAAATTATTAAAAGCTCTAAGTCACCTAATCAATCATAACCCATGCTTTATTAAGTACCTGCACTTGTGCTTGTAATCTAAAATTAAACGTGTTTCAAGTACTTTTGATTTTGACCTATACCTATTTATTATATCTTA